AACAGATATGTCCCCACTGGTGAGAGGTTTGGCCCCTGTAGTTCCGCGTAAGAGCCGTTTGACAGCCTGTAAAAAGGCCGCGTTTTGTACAGCAGTGAATTTTCAGATTTGCTTAAAGAGAGGAGGGGGGGAGAAAAACCCCAGCATTGAGGCAATAGTAGCCTGGGAACAGTTATGTCAAGAGCTACATTGTTGCTTACAGAACAGACCGCATTTTAGACCCGCGGGCATTCTCTGTATCTCATCCCCAATATTAAACACACTGAATCCTCCGTGCGTAAAGCAGGAAATCGCATAAAAACGCCTCCAAAAATATCAAGACAAGACTACACGTCCTTACCTGAAACAGGATTTTTTTTTTTTTTGGCTCCGTCTGTTCCTTTTCAATCCGAGTCACACCGATCCGTTTTCACACGACAACCATGGTCCCAGCTGTGAGAGAAATCGCGAAGGCAGGTGTGTTAATTTTAAGACAATTTTAATCGGTTTAAAAGGAGCATAAGCGAACGCGACTCGGGTCAGATTAGACTAAAAAATTTTCACCAAGTAAGCTAATCACCACACCCATGAAAGTGGGAACATGGCAACAGCCTACGCTGAGGGGTGCGTGGCGGTCGACAGATCGATCATTTGCATTTTCTAACAAATATAACGCGTTATAGAATGCCAGCCTCTTTATAAATCACTTTATGTAGAAGCTATTACTCCAAAATAATCGGTCATTCCGTTTCTTTTCAGCGTGGCAACATTTCTGAAACGGGTTGTGGAACCTGCTGGTGAAATGGTACGGTCCGTCAGCCCCCTCAACAAAAAGGAACCGAATGGGATACAGGAAACAAATTTCAGACCTGTAAAAGTCTGAAGTAGTAGAAGTGATTCAAGTGGACTTCACCCTTCACCTCAGATTTGCAAAGACGAAATTTAGTCAAAATGTACACTCTTTGATTTAGTCAAATACCAATGCAGTGAAAAACCAGGAGAGTCGAGAATCTACTGTTGTGGTGTTAGAAGCTGGAGGTGATCATTTTGCAAGTCAAAGTACAAAGAAGCCTGCTGCAATCAAACTGTATGTGCATGAAGATACAACATCAAAGGTGGTAGTAATGCAGCTATTCAAAAATGTTTATGTTAATGTTAATTGATTATGGTTGGCAGGTCATTTAAATATGTCACCATGGCATTTTAATTCATTTCATTCTATAAACCAAACAACAGTTTAGTCAATGAAGAAAATAATTGTTAGTGGCAGCCCTAAAATCTCAGAAAAAAAATAATATAGAGCTGCAAAAATAATAATAAATCACGTAGTTGATTATTAACAGTTTATCAGCAACTAATTTGATAATATTTACGTCATTTTGTAAGAATTGTTTTTTTTTTTTAAATCACCGGTTCCAGTTTCTCAAATGTAAATATTTTCTGCTTTTCTTTGTCTTCTGGTAAACAGAATATCTTTGGTTTTTGGGCCGTTGATCGGTCAACACAAAACATTTGAAGATGTAACCATGGACTCTGGGAATAAAACCATGAATTAGGTTAATGAATTAAGAAGTTCAGGAAATGGTTATCATAGAAAATCTAAGAGCTAAATCTTATGTACCAAGAGACATGAATACAAAGGGATTTACAACAGAAGCAGTTTATTCTGTTGCTACACTATTGAAACTCAACTAATTTACAGTTTATCCAAAAACTACAATACAGAACGGTGAAGATCAACCACTGAAAATCCAAACTTAAAGGTGTAAGGTTTGGACTGTGCCAGGAGACATCCGTGCCAAGTCTCACCCCGGCACACCACGGTTGGCCTACAGTGGGCTCATTGAAAAGGACCTCTCCATTAGGACAGGATGAATTTTTAATGGGGCCAATGAAAGGGAGCTGTGGGATAGGCTTTTCCATATCTCTGCACGAGCCACAATCAATGGAGGGAAGATGAAAGTTGCCCAGCCCTTGGTTTCCTTTCGGAGTGGCATGTGGTCAGATTAAGTCTAATTGAATTCACTCACACAGCAGTAGTTTAGGTGTGTCAGACCAATTTCCCCCGAAACACATTATGAGGATTAGGATTAGCATGATAGCAGAAACACATGTTGTGGTTGGGTTGTCATCAGTGCAGCCTGGCAATTGGTAATTATCAAAATATAATACATTATTATATACAGCCATGTACAGTATGTGTTAATCATGTTTCTGGACAGTTCTCTAAACAAGAACTAGTTTATTAATTCCTCCAAACTAGCCTATAATTCACTACATATGGCTGAATACCCTCACATACAAGTTAGAGATGTTGGATGATACAAACCAAATCACAACCACAAATCTGAAAAGACGAGTCCTTACATCCTCACAGTAGTTATGACATCTTTTTGGATTACTGATTGATTTACACATAAAAAAAAATTAAAAAAAACCTACATAAAAAGGCATCAACTCCTCTGCTCTCTGCCTCTCAAAAATACAGAATTCATAAGACAGCTGAGAATCAGAGTCAAGGTGTCCAAATGCACATCCTTGGCCAATCGGGTCCCTTGGCCCATTGCTTGGCAACCAAAAGGAGAGGGAGGGAGCAAATTGACACTGTAAAAATAGCACATCGATAGCCTGGTGTCTGAAAAAAAGAGAGAAAGACACACATGTTGGAGAGGCTATAAATAGCCTCCTGGAACAGGTATCGTGTACAGTATCTCAACTGTATTGTTGCCCATGAATGAGACATTTTTGCATTGATGCAAATTCAGCATGGGTTGTGCAGTAATGTACAGTAGCAGTCAGGCAGCTGAATGAAGTCATTTGAATGTGAGGGAGGTTTTAGTGCTCTAATATCACATAATATCACGTTATTACCGTGTATAGGAGCCTAAAAACTAATAACAGGTTGGCATTTGTAGACAGCAGTTTTCTTCATCCTCCTGTTTGCCGTCTGATGTTTTGCATAGACGCAAAATCACAATGGCCTCGGCTGCAATGATACATTTAAATGTAGTATAATAATCAACAATCTGTATACGGACAAGTTTGCATGCAAGAGGGGATTTGGGGTTCAATGGCTTTACATAAATAACTTGGATGACATGTGATCTTTTCATACTATCTCATAATTTCATCTGCATATTGTTAAGAGGCATTGCAATGAGCCGGATGCTTTATTTAGTCTTTGCAGATTATCTCGTCACTACAGTGTCACATTGTTAAAATGGGTCGTACACATGTGTCCTTTGTGTAATGGAGGCCAAAGTTAGATCCATCATGTCCAACTCAGTTTCCCACGACTGCTCAAAAATGAGCCCAATATGTGGGTGATCAAATCAAGTGGAGATAATGGGACGTCAGCTCCTCGATGCCTATTTTGATCTGCACGTTCCCAATTTCTTTTTCCCACATGTGGTGATGCGCCCCGACGACCCCCCATGTAATACTTCCACTGTATCAAAGGCAATTAAAAGGTGTACCAACAGTAGAACCTTAAAAGGCTTTATCAGGGCTGTCTTATCCAACAGACATCTCCCAGGGAGGCTGGCCGTTGCCAGGGTAACCCTCACAAATGGCAACTGACGTCAAGAAGGTAGGAGAAATACCAGGGAGAGCCAGAGCTGTTATGCATAATGGATTATTGAAAAAAGGGCCCTCTTGAAGAGTGCAAAGTGACTTAAAATATGCGTGCCTCGCTGGACTCGCCACCACTTCTCTCCCTCTCTCTCTCTCTCTCTCTCTCTCTCTCTCTGTGTGTGATGAGGAAAATAGATGTTGACAGTTTCAGGGTTTTACTTGCTGACTGGCACCGCATGGGCTTGACTGGCCCAATTGAAATGATCCATCCTGAGTCAAACACTGCTGATGAACTATCTATTTAAAGGACACATTGTTCAGCGCTGTATCTAAACTTAAGGAAGAGAAATCATGCACATTAGCTATTACTATACCCAGCAGATCCTTTTGTTGGTCACGTCACAAGGATCCACAGTGACGTTCACGTGTAGCTCCTCAGAAGAGATCCCTTCACACCATGTGTTAAGCCCAGAGCGGAACTACCAGCAGTTTACTCGGTCCCTGTGTCAGTTTCTTGTCCAATCTCAGCGCTGTTGTTGGCTCATGAGAGACTGTCACAGCTTGGTGAAGAGCCCTAATCGTTTCTGTGATAATGCCTCTCATGTTGTGTTGGAGTCACGCTATCAAATTCCTGTTTGTCTCACGTAGAGAATAGAATAAGATAAAAAAAAAAAAATATATATATATAATGTTAAAAAGGTAATTGCAATATTTAATATTCAAAAATCCTGTCACTGAAAATCACAAATGTTGCATGTGAATCTGTATTATGCTCCGAATAAAAGCACCATTGACTCGTAAAAATGTAGATTAATGAGCCAATCCACACCAGAATGAGTAAACCAGAAGCTTATAGTTTTTTTGTTTCAGGAGAAGCTGCAGAGGAAATGTGCAAAGAGAAGAAGTGAGAGTGTTTCAGCCCAGGGGAATCCCAAACACTTCTGTAAATGGGGGTGGCAACAAGCAACATAAAGCATGAACTACTATAATCTGAGTTTCCAAAGAACTGAATCAAACAAGTTATGTATGGGAAAAATAATTAAAGGAAGTGAGGAACAACCCTGATTTGCTAATACCACCCATTTTAAATGCCTCCCGTTCCAGCTGCATCACCACCAGACGATCATTAATTTATTAACACAATGATTTTGACTTCACATTTTGGTGCGCCGCAGGTTCAGTGCACAAGATTAGGTATTCCCTCCTGAAAAGCAAGCACAACCCTTGATGCCAGATCTCCAGATCGGTTCGACGAGCTCACAACCAGAATACCACGGTCACCACTGTTTCCTCTGTTACTGTAGTTCTACAGCGGTGGCTTATCTGTTAGTTTGGGCTCCACCCATCTCTGTTTTAGCTGAAATGATGCTCTTAGTGCAGATTTAAGATCTTCTTTTGATGCTTTGTTAGAATAAAAATATTATTCCATACTGTGCTTCTTTGTGCTTTTACATGAACATTTTACCAAAATATACAGTTATTTTGCTGTGGCAGTGAATCACGAATGAATCCAGAGGAAACACCCGACAAGGTGCAAACTAATGCATAGCAAAAACTCGCAATTTATTCAAAATAATGAAAGCTTTTCTACCTTTCTCCAGTGCAGATGAGTAGCAGGGGAAGTGGGCGTTTTCTGCATACGTCCTAAATGGCATGGATTGTGAGTCGTACAGAGCGCTGTCGTTTCAGTTCTTCCTTTCAGCTGCGAGTGTAGATGCTGCTAGGAGGAGCAGTAAATGCAGAGAGAGAGAGAGAGAGAGAGAGAGAGAGAGAGAGAGAGAGCTGGAGTATGAGGTAGAGAGCTGCTGAGTGGGAGGGTGAGCATATGGGGGCCATGGAGGATGGAGTAGTATTTCTATTAAAGAGAAAGTTTCTCTCTTCAATACTATAGCGACATATTACAAGATCCTAAAAATCCTGTTTCTGGAAGGGTTCATTACGAAACATTTTCATGTTAAGTAAAAACATCTACAGTACACGGTTACAGTACAGTGTAGTACATACGTACAGCTCACCTTTAAAAGAAAAAAGGACACCACTTTGCATGTAGGTATAGTTTGTTAGCAGAATTCCTGATATTGAGGAAAAGTCATTGAATTCAGGGTGAAGGGGAGCTGAAGTCTGTCCCAGCATGCACTGGGTTGAAGTCAAGGTAAGAGGGTGGATCATCCCAGACGAGGTCAGCTGTAGGTGCTTCTTCAAAGGACAATTTTAAAGAAATTGCCAAAAACTGTAAAAATGTGTCTTTTCACTGACAAGTCCTGCTGACACAGAACCCATACACACTTTTGCCAGAGTATTAGACAAGCACTTCCTATAGAGCACAATGGACGTATGAACCTCCTCTAAAATAAGAATCTTAAACAATAGTCCGGTTTTTCTGAGGCCATTTTGACATCTCACACGAGTAAAAGTACCCGCGTAAATAATCAAATGAATGATGGCTGGATTCCATTTGGCTGCTACCGTTTCAGGGTCCTAGCATTGTGCATGCTGGCTCACTGTCGTAGTTGAATAGAGCAGAGCCATTGTTAAAAGCACCTGTGCTTTTCTTACTATGATAATCAAAACACCTGCTGAGAAAAAACGACATTTGGAGGATAATGAGGGTTCCTTTGAAAATATAGAACTCAATCTTTACATCAGAACTATTAAAATCATGATCAAGTTGGAGGTACAATAGACACCTTTATGCACTACTATGAAAATAACCAACCAATGACCGCCAGTAAAACTAGAGTCCATTGCCTCAAATACAATAAATATGTGCTTCAAATTTTCTAATATTATTTTTTGCCAATAGACTACTGTAGTGTAGTTTTGTATATACTATTTTGAACTTATAATTGATTACCAAATAATAAACAGTACTTGAAACCAAAATGAGGCTCCTTGTGTTGTTGTAGCATGTGTAGCATTTCATCAGAACTGTATGGAGGTTAATGGTTCACCTCAGTCTGAGAAAAGCAGGTATCTCTTTCACAAATTCATTTGAACACCTTTTTCCCCTAATCTATCAATAACAGCATTATAATTTAATGTTGGCCTACATCAGTGGCTTTTAACTATACTTGAGACACAAGTGAAAACTAACGATCATAAAAATTACAAATGTGCTGATGTTCATGAATTTAATGGTCCAAGTTATAGACACTAATCATCTTTATGAAGGTTTACAAAGAATAAACCGGCCAAGTCAACATCAAGCCTTACATTTAATGATTTATTGTCTCTAAAGCCCATTGTGACTCTTAAAGGGTGCTCTAGATGCAAAGTACAGTATATTAATGCAGCCTGTGTTGAAATGCTATTTGCAAAGAATGATTTAATCTAGAAATGAAAAAAAGTCCATTCCAGTTTTTCTTTCAAAATAAAAGACGAGATTTATTTATTTTTTACACTGTATACAGTATCCAGTAGTCATCTCGCCCTCAAACTCACTTTCCAAGTGCTTGTACAAGAGTGCACACCAACATTAGGGGGGGAAATATTTGAACTTCAACACAAAACTATTTTCAAACCAGGATGTATATCTGAAGTAACAACCATCTACATAGATTTGATACAGGGGAATTTAAACTGATCCAAAATGATATTAAGTTTTATTGAAATTCAAACTAACCTTTCTGAATGCAAAAATGCAATAACAAATGTCTAATGTTTAGTGTTTTCGTTTTGGGCTCCGTGAACACAACAAACAACCTGAAGGCTTCATTCAAACTTGATTCCCTGGGCCAGAGGAAGATCTTTGCTGTAGTTTATCGTGCAGGTGGAACGCCTCATGTACTGCTTCCACGAGTCACTGCCAGACTCTCTTCCACCTCCGGTGTGTTTCTCTCCACCAAAGGCGCCTCCGATCTCAGCTCCGCTTGTAGGAATGTTGACATTCACGATGCCGCAGTCGGATCCTTTGGGCCCAAGCCAGCGGAAAACCCGACCCATATCCTGGGTGAAGATGCTGCTGGACAGGCCCTGCTGGACCTCGTTGTTCCAGGCAAACGCTTCCTCTTCCGTCTTGAACTTGAGGACGTACAGTATGGGGACGAAGGTTTCGGTGTGGACAATGGGAGCGTCGTGAGCCAGCCCAGTGATGATGGTGGGCTCCACGTAGTTTCCAGGGCGGTCCATCACCTTTCCTCCGCAGACCACGGTACCACCCTGCTGCTTGGCCTGCTCAATAGCTGCCAGATACTGATCCACAGCTTGTTTGGTGTGCAGAGGCCCATAAAGGGTGGCGGGATCCCAGGGGTCTCCGATGCGGACTTGTTTGTAGGCCTTGGCGACCCTCTCAACCACTGCGTCGTGAAGACTCTCGTGCAGCATCAGCCTCCTGGTTGTGGTGCAGCGCTGACCAGCGGTTCCCACTGATGCAAAGACGGCGGAGGGCACCACGAGATTCAGGTCAGCGTCCTCGAACACAATGATCGCATTGTTTCCGCCGAGCTCCAGCAACTTACGACCGAACCTATCCTGCACCATCATGGCCACCATCTTGCCAACATGGGTGCTGCCGGTGAACGACACCAGATCCACCCGCTCGTCCTTCGCCATGGCGGTGCCGATATCAGCGCCTCCGCAGGTCATGGAGCAGATGGCTCCGGGCAGGTTGTTGTGCTCCAGCACCTCAGCCACAATCTTGGAAATGGCAACGCTTGTGAGAGGTGTGGTTGGAGCTCCTTTCCAGAGGCAGACATTGCCGCAGGTCAGAGCGATGGCATTGTTCCAGCCGTACACAGCCACGGGGAAGTTGAAGGCCGTGATGATGCCGACAAGACCGACGGGGTTCCACTGTTCGATCAGGGCATGGCCTGGTCTCTCTGAAGGCAGCATGGGCCCGCCAATCATTCTAGACAGACCAACGGCATAATCACAGACATCAACGTATTCCTGAACCTCTCCCACTCCCTCAACGTAGATTTTGCCCATTTCTAGAGCCACCAGGCTCCCGAGGACGTTAATCTTCTTTCTAAGTGCATCTCCGATCTGCCTCACAATCTCTCCTCTTTTGGGAGCTGGAATATCTGCCCACATCTTCCACGCCTCCCTCGTCTTCTGGACAGTTTCTTCATACTCCGCCATGGTTGCCTGGGTTACTCTGGCAATGGGCTCATTGTTGGCGGGGCAGTATGACGTGATGACCTCCCCGCTGCCTCCCCAGCTCCCATTGTAAACGCCAGGGTTGTCCTCAGACAGGCCCAGCTCTTTCAGCCAGGAGTATTTGGGCTGGTTGATGAGGAGACCTGACATGGCTGCTGACTGCTGGCAGTGGACAGACGCAAACTTATGTCTCAAGAGGAGCCTGCTGTGCCGGGCAAAGGTCAGAGTAAGGCAGCGCTGCATGGGTGCTGGAAGTAAATCAAAGTTAAAAATTATTTTACAAGTTTAAAAAGGTTTGAAGAACATTTAGAAAATGATAGCTGACAAAGCAATTGCACCACAACCTTCAGATGAGCGTGTTCTGTCTGGAGCGGCAACTAACAATTACCAAAAAAAAGTATGTTAATCAACAAATCCACAAGTAATCCAATTACTTGTGGATTTGTTCATTCATTTCAGCTCCAATTTTATCAACTGCTGTTCGCAAAATAATATATAACTTTGAGAAGTTGCTTATTAAACTGGGTTATAGGCCACTGCACACGTGCGCTACAGGGAATGAAGACAGTCAACAGGTGTTGACCAGAGACTGCTAATACAGAAATAGGTTACAACTCCTTCTGTAAGAATGCATATATTTAAAGAAACCACGTATAGTGTCGGACATTGTTATTTAGTTGATTAGTTGATTGATAGACACAAGATTTATCTGCAAACATTTTGATGATCGGTTATGCGTTTATCATTTTATTGAACCAAAAATCAACTGGTTCCAGCTCCTGCAGGTGTGAATATCTTCTGGTGTTCTTAATCTGCTACAATATGAAGCAGAATCTCTTTGAGGTTTGCACTGTTGGTGGCACTAAATGGACAATTTGAGGAGGTCACCGTGGGCTCCATTACTTATTTTCTGATATCTAAAATAGACCAATAGTGAAAATGCACGACAACTTTATATGAAAAATATGTATACAGCAGAAAGTCAATTAACAGAAGCCACACATATTAGGACTGTGACTTAATATTGCTGAAGTTGTATGCGTTTCATTCAAAATAGTCTATAAATTACATACCCTTAGCTTTTCTCAGACTTTTATACATGTCCAGCAAGTTACTCAACCATATCCAATATGCGCTTGCGCAAGTCACCCAACTTTGGACAACCACGAGGCTTTCGAAACTTTAACTTATTTATGGTATAAAAATTAGAGCGTTGTCCCCGACAATATAACTGAATGTAAGCCAAAACAATAATTGCGTTTGTGAGATTCCGGATTATACAGATCAGTATGTCAGTGTTGCTACTATAGCAGCATGGAGTGACATGGTCGCCGAGATCAGCGTCAATGTTGTTAAGTCTAAACGACCGCAACTCAAGGTCCTGCGGTTACCTCTCACTAACATCACCGTGCATGTATGAAAACTACTCTTACACCATTATTTGCATATGACGTTTCAATGATCAAAAGTAAGTTCATGTTAGTTATGTATCAGTTTTTCACTCACGTTGATATAAAGTGCGCAGGGCCACGTCCGCTCTTGAGAATGGGAGTACTTGCAGTCACGACAGTTACTTTATGTTTCCGGCACAGCGGAACCGGAAGTACTGGTGTTGTGCTGCGTTCTGATTGGACAGCCGCCTCAACGCAGTGTGGCGCCTGCTTTGTGAGGTTGTTCCACGCTAACAAATTTCCTTTGTTGTGATTAACCGTTCAGCGGTTGTGATTCTGCTGTAATCATTTTTTTTTAATCAAGAAAGTCGTCGTTGAGATCATCTAAAGGATGAGTGGCGGAGTGTATGGAGGCGGTGAGTGGGCTCTCGTGAAATAAAACATAGTTGTCCACGTTGTTCCGTTCGGTAGCTTTAGCCAGCGTAACAGTTAGCTAGCTATGCTAGCTGTGCTAACGTTTAACTCTCGCGGGAGACTAAAGCTGGGCTTGGCTAACATCTTTAATCCTCACGCGTTTAGGAATATGTGAATTTGCGAACGCTTCCAGTGCATCATCTGACTCAGTTTAGTTTGTTTATGCAACAGCTATGTAACCCCGGTACCGCCTAGCTAACTAGCTAGGAAATGAATGAAAGTGGGTTTGCCGAACTCATTTTAGCGTTACACATCCAGTTCCGTTTGCGTAACGTTATTATAGCTTCCTTGGATTTGGAGCTAAATGTGTCTACTGTTATTGTGCTTAACGAGGGAACGTTATATTTACTTTAAGTACTCTGCATTTTCCCTCTCTGCTCAGATTCACATATCTAAGATATAACTTCACAGATGTCTTTTTCTGAACTGAAAAAAACTTCTGCTGATGATCATCTGTGTGCTTTATTATGCCATTCATGTCGTTATCAATTGTAATGTTAACCATCCCCTAAACATATATTTGCATTCAGCAACGTAATACGTGTGCTAGCTATAAGTAGCTTTCGTGTAGCGAAGTAAAAAGTAACATTTCAGTACATACAACTTGAAATAATCATCCCTTTCGTGATTTGCATCTTCACACCACATACTTATTTTACTTAAGGTAACACTTTTACCTTTTGAATAAGAATATCAGCCGAGGAGCCTGTTATGTGTTGATAGTTTTACCTTTATGTGGCGTGCTATAAGGAAAGATCCATGAATAACAATCCTGGAAGAACTTAATACTGGACGAGCTTTCTCAAGCTGACTTCTGCCAGTGACTTAGCAGACTGAGGTTTTTTGAGGTATTGGCTCGGTATACATTTCTGATGTGTTTATGTGAATATTTGTTGTTTTTTGTGTCGGGGATATTGTTTAAAGAACTGCTCTTTACATACTCTTCAATGGGAAAAAAAAGTATATATGTTGCAGAATGTAAAATGCCCTTTTAACCCAGAAACCTTCTGATACCCTGAAACTGTTATTGAGTATTTCAAAATCCTGTATAGTATTTGTTGAGGAAGTTGTGCTAACCTTCCTCAGATGGATACATTTTTTTTTTTTTTTTGTGGAGTTTTTAATCAAATTCTCCTTTTTGCAGATGAGGTGGGAGCTCTGGTGTTTGACATTGGCTCATACACTGTAAGAGCTGGCTACGCAGGAGAAGACTGTCCCAAGGTAAATGGATCACACAGATGACCTGATTAACTATGTGTCTTTTCTTGCTCTGTGCATCTTCATCTTCCCCTCCGGGTGTTCGACAATGTCAAGAAATGAGGACCATCACCCCGGAGACGGGCGGCATTAATTTAGTTCAGATCGTTCTGGAGTGCTTTGCTTGGTTTTGATTCATCTGTGCTTTTAGGTGGAGATGTTGATTGTGTAAATAGCAGTTTGATAAGAGAAATGTCAGAGATGCACACTGATGTCCATAATCAAATTCATCTCTGTAATACTGGCCTGGTGCAAATGCCACATTATGATATGCCGTGGTCATCACCTGTAATGAGAGTTGGTTAGAGCAGGAAAAACATACGTTTAATACAATTGATGATGGCTGAATTCCATTTAGCTGCCTCAGTTCCAGGTTCTTGGTAATATTGTGCGGGCTATCTGTGTGTGTGCAAGATGAATCAGTCAGTACATGCCAAATCACGACAGAGTGACACCAGGTACTTTTGAGCATTTCAAAACTACTGTACTCTTTGTCTTTTATAAGTCAGAGGAGCATTGCCTCACCCTCCGTTTCTCAAAAATGGGAAATTTGTGCTGTTATGTTCGACATTGCAAAACCATGGCTTTTGAGAATGTGTCTTGATTTGCATTGTGTCCTGTTGCGTTTTGTCTCGGCTCAGGCGGATTTTCCCACGGTGATAGGTGTGACCATCGACCGAGAGGATGGCAGCACGCCCATGGAGACGGATGGTGACAAGAGCAAGCAGAGCGGCACCACCTACTATATTGATACCAACCAGCTGAGGGTTCCCAGGGAGAGCATGGAGGTCATGTCTCCGCTCAAGAATGGCATGAGTGAGTGTTGACTCGTGGCATGTGATTTTTATGTCTTTTTCCCCCCAAATGCATTAAAATCTAAAGAACATTTAGGTTTTTAACTGCCATGTTATTGGGTTAGTGATTGACCAGGCTGTTTCAAACATTGGTACAGTGTTTGTGAAATGCTAAAATATGACCGCAGTTACAACCCATATGAAGATAAGTGGGTTGTGTGTAACTGCATGACCCTGTTTTTCGTCATAGTTTGTGACGTAAACTCCAACACTGAATATTTATAATCCTGTATGCGTGAACATATCCATAATTGGAGTCTGTTAGTCTGACAGCCGGCTTTGTAGATGAACTCGTCACAACCCTGACTTGCGTATAGATGACTGTCATTCATGATGAATATTAATGAGATTATTTGAAGACCAAGGCAACTCATTATCATGAGCTCTCCCATCCAGTCTCCGTCTCGGGTTAACCGCCATGTCTGCCTGACAGTGGTCATATTTTCCCCATCCTCTTTTGTACTTGTCTATGTTGTGCATGTGTTGGACATCCAAAGCCAGATGTGGGTCTCATGTCCAAGCTGTCTTTGGAATTTAAATTGAGCTGTTATTTAAAAAATAATCTGAGGCTCAGTTTCAATCTCAGATTTCTCTGCCCCGTTTTCTGTAGATGATGTTTTCCTTACATCTATTCAAAGTTATTTAGCTTAACAGTTATCCAAAATTAGGGCTGAAACAGCTGATTAAATGAATTATCAAGAAATCTTTTATTATTTTGATTAATCAATCATTTGTTTAGTCTATTAAATGTTTAAAAACAAGTGAAAAATGCTCTTTGCAATTTCACATAGCCTGTGAGGCTTTCAAATAACTTAAACACACACAACTTATATTAACTACAAATTACAAAAGCCTCACATAGGTGAAGCTGCTTCCAGGGAATGGTGACCTTTTGCCTAAGATGTATATTCTTTAATCATTAACCAATTTTCAAAATGGTTGCACATTAATTTCCTCTCTATTGGCCGATCGGGTATTGCCAAGCCAAGCCGAAATTCTCTATTCGACTGTGTTTGATTTCTGACAGTGGCTGTCAAAGGAGCACTCCGGTGCGCTGACCTAGCTAATGATGCTCATCAGAATCTGGTCCAGTGGAGTTTGGCTGGGAGGCTATTTAGAGACGAGTGTGACACCAATCTTAATTGCAGCAGAACAGCATCGTGGGACCACAGGCGCCTTCAGAGGGCTGACCTGGAACATTGGAGCTCGATGCTCAATTTCTTTATCTAAAAAACTCATCGTTGCTCTATTTTCTCCACCATCTGACCCAGCAACCATGATGGCGATGATGGATGCACAATTTGTTTGTGACGTCGATTTTTTTTTTTTTTTTTTTTTTTTGTAGGCCTGAAGCCATAAATATAGTAAAGACATATCTTGAGGACATACGTAGTTGCAATGTTATTTCCCAAATTTTGCCTATCTCATGTTAAGCACAGATTGTTGACATTTAACAAGCCCTCTTCTGTGTTTTCTCTTCCATCTCTTTTACAGTTGAGGACTGGGACAGTTTCCAGGCCATTCTGGATCACACCTACAAGATGCACTTCAAGTCTGAACCCAGCTTGCATCCAGTGCTCATGTCAGAAGCATCGGTGAGTTGGCATTTGTACGAGCTAGAGTCTGAACCAACACTGGTTGGTAGCTACGTGTTCTGTGATTGCACCATGGCCAAACAGTGTTCACATAGTTTGAATTCATCAGCAAACAGCGAAATGGTGGCAGATTTAAAGTCCGGTTCTGTTTTAGAATATTAACATGTTAGTTGAATACTCATAGTAGCTGACGAGCTTTTTGAGATGCTGTTTGCTTTAGCAGTAATCCACGTATGATGAGGTGAGGATTTGAATTTAAGAGCTTGTTTCCTGCTCTGGTCCTCATCACCTCCATGAAGAAACCCCGTAGTTTGTGTTGCGCTGACATTAACCTTTTGCGAGCGGCCTATTTTCTGTTTTGTGTCCGCAGTGGAACACACGAGCGAAACGAGAGAAACTGACAGAGCTGATGTTTGAACATTACAACATTCCTGCCTTCTTCCTCTGCAAATCTGCCGTGCTATCTGCGTATCCTTTACTACTTCACTTCATCCAGAAAAGGATGGGAGACGAAGCTAATATGAGATATTTTCCATTAAGTGTCTGATGATGCTCTGAGAGTACTGTTTCTCTGATGAACAGTCTGTTAAACTAGTACCGTATCTGTTATGTGTTGAACTGGGTTACATTTCCTTCACTCCGAGTGTCTAAGCTTTGCCAACGGGCGATCTACAAGCTTGGTCCTGGACAGCGGCGCCACACACACCACAGCAATTCCAGTGCACGATGGCTACGTCCTGCAGCAAGGTATTATCATAAATCATTCACCACAAGTTGATCATCTACCTGCATAATTTATTTTGTTTACATATTAACTAATCACCTAAGATGAGTAATGGAAAATGTATAACGCATGTGTTATGTTGTATGATTAATGTTGCCATCTGCTGGTTGGAGCTTGCATCTCAGCCTTGCCCATCAAGCCGGCTGTTCCCACAAATGTTATTACAAGCTTCTGTTGTCGTCATGAACTATTGGTGGTGCAACAGTAATTCTCATGTTTTTATTTCAGATGAAACTAAATCGTGCCGTAAAACAGCAACATAATGCTTTCTGATACAAAGAGAAACAAAGACAAGAGATTGCTAATTCATTAAAGGCACATCAAGAGATTTATCCAGTTGAGCAAGTTTTTAAAACAATGTGTGTGGAGTTGCTGATATGTATGTATGTATGTATGTATGTGTAAGAATGGTAGGGATTTACTTCAGGTCATGTGTTTTTTATTCTCTCCGACAGGCATCGTCAAATCGCCCCTGGCTGGAGACTTCATGAGCATGCAGTGTCGGGAGCTTTTTCAAGATTTAAGTGTTGAAATAATCCCCCCGTACATGATTGCATCAAAGGTAAGATACCACTATTGTAGAGAATCTCATTTCAGTCTTTCACAGGTGGAACAGTGTATTTCTAATAATCTAGTAGAAATATTTGGGATATATTGCTCGAGCCTGAAACCCGTTCCTGAGTCTTTGTGTTGTATTGCGCATGTAATTGGCTTTATGGTTCAGGACAGGTGAAGATGGTGTCTTACAAATATTCTTGAATGGACAAATGTGTATTTACTAATGCAAAGTTTTGAATGCTACGGTAAAAACATCCATACAGTGGTGAAATTAAATATAATTTTTCCTCCTGGTAAATTTGATTAACTGGCTGTTAAAATACGTTACGGTTAAAGCATATTAACATCCCTGTTTTAGGTAGTGTGATCATAATATGATCTATGTTCACTCTTGGATATACATACATATAGAAACAGTATGCACTGAATGATAGTGTGGAGGGATTTAATAAAGAGAACCAGCTCTTATCTGCAGCACACAGGCCCAAGTTTAGAAATCAAATCATCCTAAAATTGGACCAGGAAGCTTTAACTCAACTCTTCATTGTGCGTTATGAGTCTTTATTCGCCCTTATTGTCATCTTCCTTCATACCACACACTGTGAACCACTGTTTGTCTTTACAGGATGGAGTGCGAGAGGCATCGCCGGCCAGCTGGAAGAAAAAGGAGAAACTACCTCAAGTCACTCGCTCATGGCACAACTACATGTGTAATGTAAGCAGCAAACTCTGAAACACTCTTTTGTTGTGACCTTGCAGTAATGAAGGAATTGTTGTTTTGGTTGGTATGTGTTGTGTTTGGTTGAATGTGTGCCAACTTGTCTTTCTTAATATTTGCAGTGTGTGATCCAGGACTTCCAGGCATCTGTGCTGCAGGTGTCCGACTCGCCATATGATGAACAGTAAGAGCATTATTTGCATCTTAATATGAATCTGATGTTAACGTAGACATTGTCATTTACTTTAACGCTCAGCTTATGTGGAGGTTTGCAAAAGTGAACTTCTGCTGAAAGGTTAAGATGTGAGTTTCATCCCAAAATAACTAACTCGCAAGTAGGGCTGGGCAATACGGCCAAAAGCTTCCATCCCGATATTAGTCATTCTCGATAACATTAGATGTTCTAGCTGCAAATATAGCGAAATGTCTTTATGGAATAACCACATGTCAGGGCCTATTTGTGTATACTCTTGTGTGAATTAAATACGTGACAAATAAAAAGTACTTTCTCATTTCATTAAGAACTTTCGTGCAAAATTAGCACAACAGTTTCAAGGGAAATTATAGAGAAAACAAATAAATATTCCAAGCTATACACTGACAATATAATTATTCTGTATTTGAGTGCATTCATGTAAACATTAAGAAAATAGTTTGATTTAATTAGACCGGGGTAATCCCGTGAGCAGAATTCTTTGGTTGAACAATAAAGATGTAAAAACAAAACTGCAATCTTCAAATTATATTGCCTTTAAATATTTCAGATTTTTCTGAGAATTTTTTTCTGAGGAGTTTGTGCTTGTTGTAATTAATTTAATTTAGAAGATGTTACTGTGATATTTGATTGAAGACATTGAAAGACGATTAATTGTCATATTGGGAAATGGCGCTGCCGTACTCACAGGTGACCCTCCTCTCTTTCATCAGGGTTGCTGCACAGATGCCCACAGTGCACTATGAGCTGCCCAATGGCTACAACTGTGACTTCGGGGCCGAGAGGCTGAAGATCCCAGAGGGGCTGTTTGACCCCTCTAATGCCAAGGTGTGTGTTATTAATGTGTAGTAACAGGGCAGACTAAATAGCTCAACATGCTACCCCCCAAAAAAAGGAAAGCTCTGTCATGAAAAGTTGTTTAAAGCGTCCAGATGTGTTGCAGAATATTTTTGTGAAAATGTAATTTAATGATGTTTGTTGTGATCGCTGCAGGGCCTGTCTGGAAACACCATGTTGGGAGTCGGTCATGTGGTGACGACCAGCGTGGGAATGTGTGACATCGACATCCGGCCGGTAATTATCAACATGCTTTATCACACGGGTCACACCTATTCCTGGTGTCTTCTTTGAGACGCTTGAGTTTAACTTTTATCCGTTAAAAAACTTACTATGTAAAAAAATGATCATGCAGGAAATCCCTGTCTATTGTCTGCGCCCAAAACATGTATACAAGTTTTGGTAATGAATTAATTCCTTGTTACTGTCTTCAGCATGGCTTTAAAAACATAAAGCCTAATTTGCTGAACCTTTCTGACTTTGTGCCTCAGGGTCTGTATGGCAGTGTGGTGGTAACCGGAGGAAACACGCTCATTCAGGGCTTCACAGACAGACTGAACAGAGAACTCTCCCAGAAAACTCCTCCGGTGAGTTCATGCCAGCCCCTCCTAACACAGTATTAGTTAATGACAACACGAGTTAATAAATAATGATTGATTTGTGCACACAGTTTCTTATGTGGTCTGATCATTTAAGTACATTCCTTAACACTGCGATATTTCCTGCCAGAGTTTTAACATGCGTGTCTGTGATTTACAGAGCATGAGGCTGAAGCTGATAGCCAACAACACGACAGTGGAGCGCCGCTTCAGTGCCTGGATAGGAGGCTCCATCCTGGCATCACTCGTAAGGACACAAAGCAGTTAAAACTGTGTTATATAAATATATCTACAGGTTTTTAATCGTTATGACATTAGTTCTTGAGGTACAGAAAACTGTCTCTCACACACGGATGGGATTTAAAGCAACAACTCCAAAGCTGGAGGCTACTACTGCTGAATGTTTTTCATAGCGGGAGATAAAGGTGCCTGCAGAGGAGCGGCATAGCATTCATATCCAAAGATTTAAAGATCTGAACAGAATTTTAGTTTAAAACCTTCAAAGAATAAACCAAAAACATTTATGTATTGTGTTGCAGAGATATCTACTGAAATGAGCATGCTTAACAGCTAGCCGCTACCCGTCCTGTCTTGTAATAACACTTCACTAGTGCCTCAAGAGGGGTGACAGTGATGTTTAAGAAGAGCTGCAACAAGCAGGCGGCATCCTCTAAGTCTGAAAAGTGAAGCGCTTTAAACTTGCATTCTGTCTAATGGCCAGCAGGGGGGGGGGGGGGGCGACTCCTATGGTTGCAAAAAGAAGTCTGAGAAATACCCCAATTCTCACTTGATCAAGTAAACATGAGTTTATGGTCTTAATCAATACAGCATGATGTTCATTTAGAGTAGACTATAAAGCAGGGTATGCTTAATGGCGTGGCTACCACAATGTGTCAGGTCTGGGAGTTGTCCACGTAAGTTTAACTTGGGTCGCCTAAAAATATTGATAAAAGCGGTGGCAAAATGCATGAGCTCTGTAATCACATGGTCCACTTTGCTGAACAGCTTCGTCTTTGCTTGTGTGTGTATTCAGGCCTCTCCTTCTTTCATCCTGATTTATTGAAACTAAACATGTTTTCCGTGTCAACCAGGGAACCTTCCAGCAGATGTGGATCTCCAAACAGGAGTATGAGGAGGGAGGAAAGCAGTGTGTAGACAGGAAGTGCCCTTGAATTGACAACCCAACCCCCTCCATCACCGTCTTCGCCACAAGCTCACGAGTTCACCTCTGGCCCCGGACTCAGGAACACCCACAGATGATCACTCTTGTTTTGTATGATTTGTTTTTTAAAAAGTTTGTTAATATGCCGCCTGTCTGGGATTTATTGTGAAAATCAGACAAACATCTACAAAGTAAACTGTCACTATGATGAAAGATGGTTTGAGTTCCATTGTTTGTCATTACAGTCAAGTCGGTTGCCTTATTTCTAGATATGAGTTTTGTGGAAACAAAAAAATTCTGGAATTGACAAAAGCTGAAGAGCCTGTTGTCCCCGTCTTCCCTCCCACTTCAGACATTGACGTGTTCTAAGGATCATTAAATACGAGTGTGTAGCTTCTAAATCAAGTTTTTGATTACAATGTGGAGAAACACACTTTGCTCTGAAAGGTTTCTACTGACACGGTAACACTTGGGTGATGTGTATTTGGAGGACTGACCTTATGTTTGGGGTGAATCATTTTTTTTGTGTAGTAAGTAAACTCTGAGGCAAAACCCTGTTCTTGCTTATTTGTGTCAACACAAATGCATCTGTATTTAATTTTCATTGTTTGTTAAATGTGTGTGATGTGAAGTTTGTTTCACTTTTACATGTACATGATTTTAATTATAGGGGTGTCTTGTATTAATTGCTTTTAATGTTTGTTGGACATAAACAGGTTTACATTTTGATAACTATCAAATTACTGTAAAGTTGCATTAACATAATCTACAAACTGAATACTCATTTTACAGACTAGTAATGATGAGAACACATGTTTTGATATTAACTTTTAAAAATAAAACAGCAACCAACACATTTCAGGGTGATATAGCATGGTTTATCGTATAGGATCAAATAAATCAAACACTCATACGCAACATAGGACAACCGTTTTAGACCACCGATGATGTGACATGAGCCGATTCAGACTTGAGTATTCATATTAACTCAGCAGATAAATAAATGAAGAGAAGGCCTTGTGTCTGGACAGCTGTCAAATACGCCTTAATTGTAAAAGATGCACTTGAAGTTTTACGATCCAGAAACTTTTACTTGAGGAAACTTCTCCTTGAGTTCGGACCGAGTTCTCCTCTCCAAGCTGGCATTCCTGGCCTTCTGTCGAATGTGCTTCTCTATGCGCAGCCTGCAAGACAGAAAAATATGAAAACAAATCTGTATTTTGTAAGTAAACAGGAATTTTGCACAACATAAGTTAGGGTTAAACTCCACAGATCTTTTACACTGACAAAATGACATGTGCCATATCTTACCGTATGTGAGGTTGGACGAACTTGGGTGTGAAGAAGGGCTTTCGCTTGTACCTTCTGTTCATGTACCAAGGAATAGCATATTCTTTGAATCGATACCTGAGGGAAAGAAAAAATAAAGTGAGTGATGCCACATTTTATTTTCTAAAGCCTGGCCCTTTAGATCTACTGCAATCAGGTAACAGACCACCAGCAGAAAGTCTACATCAGTCCTGTCTACAATGAAATTCTGTTGAAATCTGGACCAGGTTTGGATTGTAACAGTGTGCATCTTTGGGCTCAGGCAAAGTTTCCTCCTAAAACATTTGTACAGTTGATTTTTGTCAAAGCATTTTAAATCCTGCATTGTTTACATACATGTAAACTAGCTAGGAGTCTTCTTCCCTGTCCTATTCCAGCATATCTTGGCTTGTTACCACCGGCCATTGAGCAGTGGAATAGTAAAAACATGCATGAAAGTCCATGAAATGGGGATCTAAACATCGAAAAACAGCTTCATAGTGCTGCTAGAGATCAAAAACTCTGGTACACAACCGTCTCAGAAGGCATCATTGGAAACTATAAAAGTGCAGATACTTTAAAAAAATAATTGGCAAGTGATTGGATCTACCATCAGTCAATCAAACTCTTGCCAAAGCCAGTTTGGAGAAAAGGGAAAAACCTTCAGCGCTGTTCTTCGCTCTTCTTTTTTGTGAAAGAAATACTCTCCAGTTCCATAAATAAAACTCTCAAGCCACGCCTGTAGCTGCTCAAAGGACTGGCTAACCGGACACAGACGCTTAGCTTGAAGCCCGACGAGATGGATTTTTGTGTGACGTGATCCTGAGATTCTCACGTAATCGAGACATCGCGAGAATCCAGCTACTGTGCAACGTAACAAAAACTACATAGGGAACCTTTAAAATGTTGTGCTGCATTTCCGATATAATTTATACGGAGAATCTGGTCTCACCAGTAGACATGTCCACATTTGTTCCTTCTCCAGGCTCCTGGTCTGCCTTTCTCCTGGCCCGTCTGCAGCAGTCGCAGAGCAGTCTCTCGCTCTGTCACCACCGTCTCCAGTCTGATCATTGACCGCTCCACCTGGGAGGAGAAGAGGACAGCAAGAGTTAGCTCAGCCAGGGCTCCTACTTAAATAGAAACCCTGCATCCCACCTACCACTGACAGAGGTCTACAGTAATGGAGGAGATGTCACTTGAGCATCATACAAACCTTCCTTGTTCTTTCTGGGCTCGGCATCTGAACCCTTTGCCTCTTTGATTCCTGCTCCAGTGTGACCAGCAAGTTCTTTTCTTTTAACAGCACATACCTGAGATAGAACGAGAGTGAAACACAAAGCTGAGAAATGTTCAAAAACACTGTGAAGCACCAGTGGGATCTCTACAGTGCTTACCAGAGTTTGTGTAAATCTTCATTGCTCTTTGTCCTCAGTTGTTTGGCAGTCCATGGTGCACCTGTTAAATGTTCAAACAATGTTCTATTGTTAAAGCTACGAGCAGACTGTGCAGCCATAGTGGAGGAGCCATCTTCAGTGTTTTACCTGACTTCACGTTGGACTCTCCCCAGTTCTCAGGGACGTCAAAGAACTCGTCCAGCCCTCTCCTGCTGATGGTGGTGTGCAGGGCTCGACACTGACCCACAGAGGTGCTGGGACTGTACCAAGACAGGGCAGCAAGGGGAGACTTTTCCCTGGTGGGTGCAAAATAAATTCACATTACAAGACTTAAAAGGGATAATCAAACTTAAATTAGAATTGGTATTCCATTTTCCTAACCTAAATCCTTTACAGATTTCACACAAACCGTCATTGAGGAGCAGAGCCAGTGTAAACCGTGAACACGTTATATATATATGTCATGTTTTACTCTTAAATTAACGTTACCTGTGAATATGAGGCTGGTACTTGGTCAAAGCAGAAGAACAGTGCTGGGTAGTTATCGCTGAGGATATCCTAAAGACATTTTGAAACTGTTTGCAAAGAGTCAAAACGCGTCCTGCTGATGAGGACGTCGCCATCTTTACCGTTGTCCTTCCCACATTACCCACAATGCATTTTTCTACACCTAATACTTTTTTAAAATTGTTTTGCTTTTTTCAGCTATTAATATATATTTATGCAATGACTACTATACACTATGCCTACACAGTAACACAATTTAATTAAAATACAAATCTACCTATCTGCCCTCATTAAAGATGGCGGTTTCCGCTTCAGTCTGTCATCAACCAATCAGAGCTCGTGTTGTTGAACTGCCGTCCCTTTGTAGAGATGGTGGGTATGAGTGTTCTCAGGTCTGCTGCTGCTTTTGCAGCCAGACTGAGTCCTCTGAAATCTGGAAATAATGCGGCAAATTTACTCTCTCGAGCAATCCCGCGGACAGATAAAGGTAAGAGACGCCCTGGTTCTCTAAAGAGTACGAAGGTGCCCCTAAAGGTGGCCGTCTCTTCCTATGACCTTGTGCCGAGGCTTGTTAGCTTGCTAGCTTGCTAATATTAACTTTACCGTTCGTCCTGCTGTCAACACAAAGTACGTAACGTTAGTAGGTTCGTAACGTTACTTTAATAGTTATATAGCTGCTCACTCTTATTTGTCAGCAGATACACATTTTATAAATTTGGCAGTCAGTGTAATAGTTGTTTTATAGCGTTTGCATGTCAACAATATCATACAAATATATTGGGGTTCCGAGTTTCTCTGTCGAATTTAATTAAATTAAACACCTCATTTTATCCTATTCTATAATAATTCAACGTGCATGTAATTTGTTGACACTGTAACATCATAAAACTCATTTGACTTAGTGGGATGCACATTAAATATTTTACCACACGAGTTTGTAAACCTTAGTAACGTTAAATATCATATTTCTTATGGACCAGTAATATTGATCATAACAGTGATTTTGTTCATATTGTTGATTTATTGACAAGGAGACACATTTTAGGAATGATCATGAGTATTGTGGATATTGTAAACACTGATTGTTTAGTTTACTACTACAGCCTAATAAGTTCATAACATTATCACAAGAACCAGAATGTAAGTCACTCTGGTCTTGTATTATGAATACTATGTCAATAAAGCACACCCCTTTTATTTTTTTTAAATACATGCTCACAACTCATGCTTGTCCTACAGTGGCTGTTCGTTGGGGTCATGGAAAGAAAATGTTTGTAATCAAACCCACTGACTTCTACGACAGGAGATTTCTGCGCTTATTGGTGAGTACGGTAACACCATCTCATTCATTTCCTGCGATCACGACAAATTTAGGGTTTTTGTTGGGCTCAATTTGGTGTCTGCAGTAGATGATAATATCAATGCCAGCAGTAGTCGGTCTTCAGACATTTCAGTGTGTTGATAACCAAGACATTTAAGTGGAGCCCTGCTGTACCTTCTCACTCTTTAACCGATACTAGAAGCCTCTAATCTAATGTTACACGAGTTCAGGAACACAACTTGAAATAGTGTTGAAGACCAACCATCTGTTTGCATCACTGCTCAAAGCTCATGTCATATTTATATTTCACAAATGAAGATGCCCTAATCCAGAAGGACTTTTATTCCAGCATTAGAATAAGCCTCCACCTTTTTGTTTATTAACATTACATGGAGCCATTAGTGAGCCACGCAAACATCAAACCCAAAGTGGACAAAATTAAACAATTACTCCTGTGCTATTAGTTTCTATATAGAAGTCCTATGTAATGAAATAAAAGCTATGCATAAAATGTCAACTACTTTAGCATCAAAGCAACAGTTAGACCTCCAGTCTTGATCAGCCCTCATGCAGAACAACATTACAATTTTCAGTATTTCATTTTATCTTTTCAGCAATTTTACGTCCTGCTGACCGGCATTCCTGTGGCTGTCATTGTCACATGTGTGAACGTCTTCGTCGGTAAGTAACGATATGTTTTCGTGTTTTTGTGTGTGTGTTATTTGGACCATTGGATAATATTTGGTCATTTAAAGATGTTATTTGAGGAGTAAGTCAAAAGAATTTGCGTGTTACTTTGAATTGAACTTTGGTGTGATTGTGTTGTGAAGGTGAAGCAGAGCTGGTTGAAGCTCCTGAGGACTACGAACCTGAGCACTGGGAGTACTACAAGGTACTTAGCTTGTTCAACTACTTGATTACTTTAACTGAAAAAAATCAGTGATTGTTTATTGAGATGAAATACATTTGCAGTCATTACAAATATTCTTGTCATGTGTGTTTTTCCCTGTCATGTCAGCACCCCATCACCAGGTGGATTACACGGACCTTCTATGATTCCCCAGTGAAGGACTATGAAAAGATGATGGCTGCAATCCAGATAGAGAAAGAAAAGGCAGACATGAGGTGAGTTTTAGTACTACCGTGTTATGTTGTAGCTTCTGTCACCAAAATACTGTCGCGTATGAAGGCCAGAACACAGTTGTGATACAGCGGCACGAAGCATTTCTAACTAAACAACTAGTAGTTGTTCGCTGCTATATTAATGCTCTGAATATCTCCAGCACAGAAAAAAAAGTGAGGTTAGTATCCTGAAAAGAAAAGGTCTTATTTCCTTGTATTAAAGTTTTTAGCAAAGACAAAAAGGTACTGGTGTTATATAGTGCAACATTATTACAATACTGATAGAAGTTGGTTATTTCACATAGCACAGTCAGTGGCATCATTGCTATAAGTATGAGTGCAAGTGATTCATTTGAAGGTTTCAGATTTCTGTTGGTTAAACATGTGTGAGGTTAGATTCCTGTGCATGTTTAATTGAATTTCATGGAATTCCGCTAATATCTGGTGCCATTGTTGTCTGAATGTATTTCATTGTAACAAGTGTCCAGTTGCACTGAAGCATCCAGGGAGCAGATGTGCTTTGGTGTTGAGGAGGAAGTTTTGTCTGTGGCAGTTAGAGCGGCTGTCATAGCCCTTTGTTCAGTCATACAACTGTGTTTTGTTCCAGTGTCAAATGTGTGTCAAAATATTTTTTATGTAACTTGCCAAACTGAAATGGATTGTTTCTAACACACCAAACATGAGCTGTATATGAATATATGATTTAAAAGGGAATGTGTTTAAAACATTTTTTTTGATCAAGCACACCTCCTGTATAAGACCGGATGCAAACTGCAATAGAAGTATCTGTGTTTCTTTATGTTGGTCCCAAAGTCAGCCCATGGCAGTGCAGTTCTCAACGTCTGTTGCACCAATTTCTGTGTTAAACATTCACTGAGCATTTCCGTTAAAAGGAACCACTCAAATCCTGACGATAGACACCTGAACACAAAGGTTTGACATAACTGTAATCACCAGTGACTTACATGGTTACGCTTTTAGATTCCATTCCTGTTTGAGTCTACTAGTTTAATCACACGAGGATGTTAAGGAGAATCGTTGAAGATCTGATTTTTCTGAAGAAATATGTCATCATTTTTCTTTTGTCCTGGCTTTGTGAAAAGAGAGTGACGAGTGTTCTAGCAATAGTCTGGGATTCACAGCTCGCTCTAGTTTTCCATTTCTAAAGCATGATTTCATCAATTCACTGCCTGTTTGTCGTCAACAGACTGACGCAGCTGGAGGTGCGTCGACAGATGAGGACAAAGGGAGACGGCCCCTGGTTCCAGGTGGAGACCCTCAACAAGGAGCTGATTGACTACAGCCACAAGTCAAACCCTGACAATTAATCCAGACGCGTCTGCCATCAGTACATCAAGCCGATCAATCTCACTGTTTGTACATTTTCCCCCCCTCTTGCGTAAATAAAGTATCTATATGGACTCTGATATTTTGTCCTCCTGCGTCTTTATTTGTACTGCTGTGTCCTGTCACAGTTCAAAAACATGCCGTATGGGTGAACTAGTGATTGTCTGATTTGTCCCATAGCTGTGAATACAAGTGCAAGTGCTCGTCGATCTACATGTGATAGATTGGCTACCTGTCTTGTATAATAAAGTATTGCTTCTTGTAGTCATCAAATCCTAAAGACATATATCCCTACCAGAGGGCCACCGTAGTTCTCCTACATGCTTAGAGATGGAGGGGTGAATGGAGGTATGTTGTTACTTGCAATCTGCAACCTCACCACTAGATGCCACTAAATATCACTCTGTTCTATTAAACAAGTGAAATTTACCTTACAATATGTCATCGTGGCAGGTAAATATCTTCAAATATTAGCAAATTAAAAAACATAATTAAAGTGTCTAGATACGTATGTTGTTGCTATATATAAATATTGTAAATTGATTTATTGGCTACTTATTAGCAAAAAACGCAGTTCTGTCTCTCTGTTTGTACAGATTTCTACCAATATCTACACATGCAAATTGCTCACCAAGTACTTCCTGGAACTATATAAAATATTTGTGATTCAGGTGACAATGAATCATTTTGAACTTCCGTTGACTTAACTCTCTCTTTACACGGCTCTGGGGGTAACGCGCTGTAGTAAGTGTGGGTGTCTTTATGAATCATCCTCAGAGGTGGGAGGGGCCCTTCTGGTAAAACGTCCTCGTGCAGGCAGCGTCACCACAGTCAACAGTAGCAATGCAATTCATACGCATGCAAGAAACCACACAAAAGAAACAACATTAGCCTTCATTAGCTTTAGCCGCCCTGCAGTAGCCACCAGCCTCCGCCCCTCTGTCATTTTATTTTCATGTTTTTTTTTTTTTTACCGCGTCACATCCCCTCTGGCTCGAGGAACGTAGAGACGGAGGGCTTTAAAAATAGCATCCTCTCCTCTGACAGCGCTGCTCCGGTGGCTCCGCAGCACTGTGGTGCCAGAAGCAGGAATGCGAAGATGGCTGCAGACCTCGGAGAGCTGCTGGTCCCGTTCATGCCCACCGTCAGAGTGCCCAGAACGGGAGATAGGGTTTTCAAGAGCGAGTGCGCCTTTTCCTTCGACTCTCCCGTAAGTGTCCACACACACACACACATACCGAGACATGAGCGCGTTGTTTGGAGAGGGTGAATGTGAGTCGCAGGCTCGGTTTAACAACACACATGTGAATCTGCTGTAACGTGTGCGTGCGTGCGTGGCCACCTTCCCCGTGAACTTGAGAGAGAAAAAAATAAATAATTAAATGTTGTTTACATCTCAGGAGAGAGGGATGGAGGGCTTTCCCTTTGTGCATGGAGAGGTAGACTGTGCAGTTCAGGCCACATCACGCTTCAACCCAATAAACACACAAAGCTGACACACCTGCCTTGAATTCATTTTTAAAAGCTTTAACAGCCCTGTCAGGTTGCAGGTGCGTTGTTTTGTGTGTGTGTGTGTGTGTGTGTGTGTGTGTGTGTGTGTGAAAAAGAGTTTACAGCCACCTTTAGGGTTGTTGTTTTTTGGGTAATTCATAATCTGTCTAAAAATGGACTTGAAGTGTGTCAGTGGTAGCTGGAAGTTTGTAATATTGATCATATGTTTCTATCATTATTTACTCACGACAGTGAATTTAAAAGCATTTTTAAAACCTTACATGTGCCGTTTAGCATAGTTTATAACAATCAATTTATTGTATTGTGTTTTTGTGAGTGACCGTGACTTTCATGCTATCCATGGTAGTATTGGAAACATCGATTTAAAGTCTGTAAGGGCCTTTATAGTAGTATTGTAGTTTGTTTTTATGTTGTTGTATCACTAGAGAGTTGATAGAAAATCATGACCCGTATTGTGACAATTTTTCATTTATTTTGTCATTTTCTACTACTTCTGTGATTGAGACAATATCAATATAGCATCAAAGCACCAATATTTTTGATTTATGTTATTTTTTTAAACACATTTAAATGTGAGAATCTACGTTTAACTCGACCTTACTTGCATTAACATCCAACATAAAAAAAACTACTTTCTCGACTGAAACCGTTTTTAAAGGTGACTCAGCTGTCTGGAGTTCATCACGTTGGCCCGAAGCGGGCTGGTTTATTTTTATCCTTGCACTGTTGAAGCTCATATGTCACTCTGGGCCACTTACACGTTTATCACAGGGGTTCATAAGACCCACGCTGATTGCAAATTTAGGTTAGTTTTGAAGAGGTATTCATGACGTAGTTTGTCTCTGTCAGTCCACGTGTGAAAGTGCAGGAGATTGTCTCCATCCGAAAAATTACAACTCCTGAAGGAGGTCCCACTGTATTTATCCTGCACTTTAAAACACCTCAAAGTGAGCCACTGGTCACATGCAGACAAAATGATCATACCTTTGTATCCTGTAACTGTAAACGTTTCAGATACAGTAAGTCAACCTAGTAAGATGTGACATGTGTGGGCCTCAGCCCACAGACACTAACCAGCACTTTTATGAGGAATTAGGTTACTGTGTTTTTAACCTGCAGGTTTCTCGGTGCTCCCAAATCAAAGAGCTTCTACTTGGTTAATGAAATTAATTTGTATGTAGCTGTGTGTAACAGGATTCACATGTTATTTATTTGAAACAACAGTAGCAGCAAAAATCCTATTTTTGAGACATTCTTTGGCTAAAATCATGGCTGTAAGGTGACTGTGATTCTGTGGATTTGCATTTAAAAAACAGGCTTTTCTGCAGCAAGCATTTTCTTGATTAAAGTGAGAAATTGCTGGAACAGATTTGACAAAATGCGAGAAAGACTGTTTGAGCAAGAAAGCCTTTTCGTGGAAACATTGGCACGTCTCTCTTACTTGCATTTCTGCTGTGCATGTCGTGAGAAATTGTTGTAACTAGTGCCAGGTAGTGTGGCCAAAGTACAGTACAATACAAATTCAGCTTTGATGTTAAGTAGTTTTTTGTCACAAAAGTCATTCGCTTTTACCGAAATGATTATTCTCATCCTTTCCTCTGCAGGGTCGGATTAGAAAATATTTGTGTGAGGATGTATAAAAATACACTGCAAGTAGTATAAAACTGCTCTAAAATGAGGTACTATAAAGACCAATTCTAAGACCTAAAATAAGGTAAATTTGATTTTCTGTGTAATGTTCACTTTAGTTTTCAATGTGTTTAATGTGCTGTTGTGTTGATGGTTCTTCACCTCGTGCTGCTGTTCATTGTTACTGTTTGTTTTGGTCTGCAGGAGTCGGAGGGAGGCCTTTATGTGTGTATGAACACATTCCTGGGCTTCGGACGAGAACATGTGGAGAGACATTATCGCAAAACAGGCCAGAGCGTTTACATGCATCTCAAACGACATGTCAAAGAGGTACGTCTCACACCCGCCCTGCCTTTTTGAGTATAAAGTGTCTTTGTTTACATTGTGCTTTTACACATCACATTTGCAAAGGGCTTTGCAATCAATAAAACGATAACTCACAAAATCAGAATCAGACTTGGCTGTAGAGACATTAAGAGAGTTAACATAATCCTTTATTATTTGTATTCTTACAGCAACAAGGGGATAGAGCAACAAGAGACATTAGTAAAAAATAAAACAAGATATAATAAAAAAGTAAAAGTTAAACAAAACATTAAATTTAATAGTAGACAGACTGATAATATCATAGATCAACAATAGAACAGAGAGGTCAAATGCAACCACGATAAAGTGGTTACAACCAATAATATATGAACTCAAATGTGAAACTTTGTTTCAATAATTAGGCAGATTTTTACCGGCTTTACTGGCTTCAGGCAGATCTCAATTGCATAAGAAAATATTTTAAAAAGTGATCTATTTTAGTATGAAGAAACTGATTTAATCCATAATTGACAGAGTTATGCACAACTTATTATTTTCACTTTGAGAGTCTCAACATGGGGGGAAAAAGTAGCAAGGTGAATTGAAAAATTAGTAGGCAATATATAAACTGGTATACAACACACTACTAATGTTTCTAAATGTATTTCTCAACAACTATATCTCCTCCACCCATAAGTGGAAGAGTTATAGTTGTTAAAGTTATAATTTTGGACAAATGTTGTACATTAATAAACACTTAAAATGTCCTTTATAGCTGCTTACAACTACATTATGAACCATTTATTAAATGTTATTGTATACGGCTCATGAATGCTAAACCGGGGAGCTTGAACTAACGTGTTACCCATTCTTCATTTAAAGAAGCACCTGAGTATTTAACCACTATTACACCACTGGTGCTGTTAGTATTTGAGTTAGTATGTCGTTAAGGATCACTGGTCTGATGCTGCATTGAAAGGTGCTTTAGGCAAAACACTGAGCGACCTGGATTGCTGATTAAATTACACAGTGTGCGCTGCATATTATTGGAGCTGGTCATCAGTATTTAATTAAAGAATGATGAAAATATGAACTTTGTTTGAGGCTTTTCATTGGACCCGACCGACCTTTAGACTGAGGCCTGTCTGAGTCATCGTGGCTATCAATTGATCTATTGTATCTATCTGTACTGCCCAAATCACTTCTATAACCTTTCACACTGTTTGTGCTTATACATATTTCACAGTCCCCTCTTTTCCCTATAATATCCTATGAAGTTGTCCAGAAAGAACCTGCTAATTTGGGAGGAAGTATGGGACCGTTTTCATTTGGTACTTTTCCAATTAATTAATCAAAATTGATATCCAGCATAAACCCGGAGAGTCTAGTGTATAGTCAGTTCACAGCATGTCAGCTGAACATGCAAAAATGTGAAATTGTTTGCAGGCAAGCAAACAATTAGAGACCAAAGTTTCCAATAATAAATTATCAATAAATGAATATGTTCTTTGGTTTAAATTAAACGTTTCATTTAAGATATTTCTTATTTTCCCTATAATTTGTACCAATTTACATAGTGCAGTCCGAGAAACGTCCATGGAAATGATCAAGAAAACATTTTGAAGTTACACACCCATAAAATAAAGCATTATTACCAAAAAGTTACTGAAAATGTACAGAAATTCAAAACTTCTGTAGGTTGTGTTATATTGTAAGGCTTTTCATCATCCCTGTGTGTATAAAAAAAACTCCCTCAACAAAGCACTTTAGCTTTTTCTTTGTGTAAAATCAATGAATGGAGAATCACACATCAACCCGAACAAGCCTCTCTTTTAAAAGTTGATGGTGAACAACAAAAGCTGCTGCCGTGTTTTCTCACCGGCTCTAATTGCCCTCAGATAAGCTCTGCTTTGTAAAGAGCTGCTATTTCCATGCCTGGATCTGGCCTGAAACAGCTGCTCACATTCTGCAGGCTCCTGTGTCTGCTGCCCCCCCCCCCCCCTTCACGAGTCCACTTGGTCTCAAGTGTGTCAGCATTCTCTGTCTTTCTGTCTGTCTGCCACCGTGTCCCCCTCCTCCTCCCTGCTGCGTGAACGGGAAGCGGCCACCAGAACATGTGGAGATTAATAGGAAACCTGTCCTGAGTTGTTTTGCTGCCAGCCAGTCATTTGGCAGATTCACTGACGGTGTCGGTATTTTTTTTATTATTTGTTGATTGATCCTTGTGTCAGGACTGAAACTATTGTTGTCAGACTGACCATGTTTATCTATAAATCTGTTAAATATTGATACATTTATGATAATTTTCTGGAGAGAAAAATGATGACACAGTACGAGCAAAGACAGGCCCAAACACATGATGCTTGACATCATGTAAATGGTATCTGTCTCAAGTCTCCAAATCAAACTGTGCAACTGAAGCAGTTTCATTTATCATTCTTTAATTTTGACCATGCCATGGAGGGGTTTTTCCCCTCGCCTTGTAACCCGACCTGGCAACTGGAATATCCAGCATCTATTTCAAAATGACAACCATCCGCACCTTCTGTCACAGCAGAGCGTACAAGCTTCTTCCACTATTTTACAAAGAGAATCATCAACGGTGTTAAAAGATGCTTTTATTGTGATGAGGGTTCTTTGATCCAAGTTAATGTCGTCCTTCCTGTTTCCCACAGAAAGCCACAGGAGCAGCAGCAGGCGCCATCCCCAGACGAAGAAATGGAAAAGTGTTTCTAGGTAAGTTGGAGGCAGTGGTGGAGGAATCACTCAGACCTTCACTTAGAGCACCAGTGTGTAGGATTCAGGGGGATTTATTGGCAGTAGTGGAATTTTATACAACTATGTTTTCACTAGTGTAAATTCACCTATAAGTAGAATTGTCTTTTCGTTAGCTTACAATGAGCCCTTCATATCTACATAGGGGGCGGGTCCTCTTCCAAAAAGTCCGCCATGTTTCTACAGCAGCCCAGAACCATGGACTGTATATAAAAAGTGGAGATAGTCACCATGACGTCACTTATTAGTTTGACTACTACGGCTTTAAAGTCTTGAGTTTGGCATTTTGGCCCTTGCCTTTTTTTTTTTTTTTTTTTTGACCAAAAGTGATACGAGGGGGTAGATAAGTACAACCCAACGCTGAATAAGACATTGTTAGGCAACCAGAAAAGTTACAAATAACTTTAATGAACTGAAAACACCATGGTAGCGACTTGTTAGTTATAATTTAGCCACACCCTAAAGCATACACTGCTTTATCATCTATTTCACTCTAATTAGGACCATCATTTACTAAAAGAACATCATGCAATATTTAAAAAGACTTAAAACTATCGGTTGAGACCATAAACTCATGTTTACAATGTTTGAGGTCATAAATCAAGTGAGAAGTAGGCTCGTTTTCTCATAGACTTCTATACAATCTGACTTCTTTTAAATTGTAAATTGTAATTGTAGCAGATAAATGTAGTGGAGTAAAAAGTACAATATTTCCCTCAGAAGTGGCATAAAATGTAAAAGTTTCTTACAAGTACCAGAAATGTTCAATGTAGTAATGTGTAATATTATTAGTTACTGTCCACCGCTGGTTAGAGGCTGGACCAAACCTGGTGTTTTAATATTAAAGTCATTTCTGTGGTCTGAAACACCTCTCTCTGCTAACAGAACCCCTCCATTACAAGCTGGTGTTATTGTTTGTCACACTGTGGTGACCTGCCAGCTGCCCCTCCAGCCTGCCTTTACCCAAAGCGTCAGATATTTCCCATGATGAGACCTGTCCTCCTGTGGTCCAAGTATAGCCCATTTATTTGTATATGTGGTTGGTAACTGTTCTAAATCAAAGCCTGGTCTTCTCCTCCTCCTCCCCCTCTTCCTCCTCGGCGTGGGGGAGGGGGCGGGTTGGTCGTCAACCTCTCAGCTGCCACCACCTGTCAACCTCCCTGACACACTTCCACTGTAGCTATGACGCTGCTCGGCCAGGACCAGGTGTCTCTCACCCGCCCTCCCCCAGTGCTGGCCTGACGGGGGAGGAATTCCTTCCATTCACCCTCAATGCAACTGATGTTTCTGTGGGATCATTGTCCACTGCTTGATAGACTTGCCACCCATTGCCTTCCGATGGTTGCTGTCCAATGAGGTCACCCCTCTACGTAACAGCTGACTCTCTCCTATAGAAATTTGTCCGTGGCGATTCTCCCTGTCGTCCATTTTGGATCTTTGATGTGACAGCTGGCATGCATGTATCCATCGTCAGCTACATACCAGTCCAGTGACCTAATCTAGCTGGTAACCACCGACATGAAGCCGGTGGGCACAATAACAATGTCAGGGATAACCTATGATCCTGTTTCTAATGAGTCATTACACGACTTTAGGCTGGAGTGGAGAACAGACAACTCTATACGGAGAGTGACTCAAGAGAAGAGGCTCTCTCTAGAGTCCCCTTCCAACAGGTTGATGTCATTCAGATAATAATTGAAATGATTAGATGATTGAGCAATAGGGATGGGACGTAAAAGGATTATATCTCAGGCTGCGATCAAAAACACTCACAATAAGGTGATGGTGGTGAATTTCCCCTATTAGGTAATCGTGAATATCATCGTGAGTTACTTGAAGCCAAGCTCCCTGTCATGGTAGAAGAGTGAAAGATAGAATACAGGAATTATTATGTAAAAAAGAACAGAGATTGTTTGTTTGTTTTTCCACTGAAAAGGATGTTCCCTAAAATATAATGTGTCCTAATTGTGATGCCATGAAAATTTTAGTGTCTTAACAAAATGTAATGTGATGCCATTATGTTTTACTACTAATTTGAAGTATATTTTAATTAT